CATTTAAATGAAATTATCTTCAAAAAGTAAATGTCATGGACCAATCTGCAATTTTGCAAATTTTATGCGTTTTTTTTTAAAAAAAAGGTATCAAGCTCTTAAAAAATCACCCGTTAGTTACTCATTGCAGAGCGTGCACATGTGTTGAGTGCAAATTGTTGATGCTTGCTGCGAGAGCTACGATACTATTTTACCCACAAATACCTGACCTAGGTTAAATACCTAGGTTTGTACTTGTCTGTGGGGTAAGTAGCCATTGCTGCATTGGAGTTGATAAGCAAAAAACTTGACGGAATCACATTTGGTTTTTTGAACAATGGTGGCGAAAATTAGCTTAAAACTTATGTACCAAAATTTTTGAGTATCTTTCCATTGTTTTTGTGCTTGGCAGCAAAATCTTGCTCTAAATTTAATATATATGTAAATACATATGGAATTGTGGCGGTATGTTGTTTTGAATTGCCTTCCCTAGCGACGTGAAAATTACAGGGTATTAGCTAATATGGAAAAGAAATAAAATACATATGTAATAATACTTAATTTCTGTTGTACATTTGTTTTTAATGAGTGAGTTAAGTTATTGCTTAGTACTCCTACCATGGCATATACCATACTTTTAGGGAGTAGAAAGAAACATTCTTCTCTCAACTCGCATATTATCTGATAGGCGAGCGGCGATCAAAATACTTAAATCGTATAGGTCTACAGTTGTCCACAAAATAATAAGAGTGCGATATTTTGACCATTTTGGACTATTTGCTGTTTGCTGTTTGAATGCTTATTATATTTTATAAATATCTAGCTGTTTATACAACAACAAACAAACATTTTAACCTTTGCACAAAACCTATAAAAACTCTGCACAGTTTGAAATTTTGGTTAAACTTTGCAGAATTTTTATACTTTTTGTACAAACTTTGAAATGTTAATTTTTATGGTGTTTGTTATATAACCAGCTAGACTTTTATAAAAAAATAATAATAAACAGTAAATAAACAAAAGAAAAATAGTCAAAACTGGTCGAAACATCGCACTCCTATTATTTCGTGGACAACTGCACATTAAGAATATAGGCGTCAAGGATGGGTGCCAGGCCACAATGGTATAAAAACTGGCAAGGAAAGGGTCCTCCTTGTCTGCTATCAGTGCCACTCGCAGTACGGGTATTCCGCTATCATCTTGCGTACTCTGATCGGAACGTAATTTTATGGGACGGGCTAGTAAAAAGTTGCTTATAGACAACTGGATCTGCTTTGATACATAGTCGGTGCTAACATGGGCCACTGCTTGATGGCGACGCATGTCATTAGAATGGGTCTGCAGTCGAATGACTTCTAACGTAGTTGTCGCGAAATACCCGACGACATTACTTCCATCACTGCTATTTTACAGTGATGCCAGATTGTGGCTAATTTGCCGATTTGAGGGATATTTTGCAACAAAAAAAGGGATCTTCTTTTGACACAGTTATCGATGCATAATTGATAAAAATTCATGAATATTCCGCATTCTTACGTAATTAATCGTTCTGAAGATGTGATGTGGAGTGAAATGATATATAATTATTAAAAAGTATAAGGACAATTTTGAAAAATTGTTCACGTTAACCAATTCAAGCGCTGAGTAAGAAAGAATATTTTCAATTAAAACTGGTGTTTTATGTAAAAAGCGGAACAAGTTATCTGATGTATGTGCTTCAATTTTAAAGTCTCCAAAAAAAAATCATATTTGCTTAAACTATGCAAATAATTTGTAACAGTGATAGTTTTAGGAATTACCATTAAGTATACAACAATAAAAAACTCAAATATAAGTATGCATTAGTTAACTTAATATGGAAAAAGTTTTTTTCAAAATCTTGGGTTGTAAAAAATACTGAAGCCAATTTATGAATTTAGTAGATTTTAATTTAATTTGTAAACTCTTTTAGGTCCTAAGTGAGTAATCTACCGACCTTTGAATTTCGAAAGAATATTATGTGTGTCGTAGTGGTAAGCAGTGCGTGCTTCCACTCCGCAGGGCCTAGGTTAAAGCCCTGGTCAAAGCAACATCGCAAAAAAAAATTTAGAACAAAGATGTTTTCTTAACTGCGGTCGCCCCTCGGCAGGCTATGGCAAACCTCCGAGTGTATTTCTGCCATAAAAGAAAGCTTCTCATAAAAATACACTCGCCGTTCGGAGTGGGCGTAAAACTCTACTCAAGTAGCACACTGGTGTATAACTTGGTGTAAATTTACGAATTTTGGTATAAATCTGATTAATTGTACCAAAATTCACAAATTCACACCAAGTTATACACCAGCGTGCTACTTGAGTAAGTCCCTGCCCTTTGTGCCACAAATTGGAGGAGAAGGTCGGCCAAACACTAACATATACACATTTGTAAGTGCCAATCTATTATTATTATTTTTTATGAATGTTACTTCTTTACTACTGAAATATGCATTGTTTTGAATTCTTTGGGAATTTTGTGGGATAAAGTTTTGAGATGTGGGTAATAGAGGGATTTTTTCCCAGATTTTGTGGGAAAAGAACAATATACATATAGTTCTTATAATTTCGAGATTGCAGATTTGTAGAACATAAAATTTTAGTATAACTAAGTGGAAGTTTCAAGTTTCTAAAAAAGTGCCACGCAGTTTTCCCATACAAAGTATGTTCGAATTTTTTTTTTTTATATATGCAAAACCCTGTCGGCAAAAAAAAATATTCTAAAAATCAACGCAAATTTTTAGCAACTTAAAGGAGAGGTTTTACTTACACTACCACTCACACAAAACATCTTTATCTTTAATTTACTAGGTTTTAACATGTAGTATATTTTTCATCCAAATAATGAAGAGGAGAGTAGAAGTTGCCCGCAGAATAAATTTGTTATTGTGTATTTAAAGCAGCAAAATATAAAGAAAGCATTTTGAAATAGTATACATATGTACATGCATAGTACAAGTATATACAAATACTTATTTCTTTATCTACACCGACAAATTTTCAAAATGCACGCAGATGCAAGACTGTATATTATAGTTTTTGAAAATCCTTTATTGTTGGTTATCCAATGAAATGCTGGATTGGTTCAAAAAACCACATTTTCCTCTAACAGTTAGACATCCACTTTACAAATGTGGTTGGACTTACATTTGCATGCCCACACCTCTTTTGGATACTTTTCTCTGTATATTGCACTCGAATATTAGATTTCTTTTTCTTACTTTTTGTTCGCTTTTCGTACGCAGCGATAATATCATTTGAGCAAGTAACAACTAGGTGGACATGTAGCTATTTTTTGGCACTAGATACGAAAGTGGATGGGCGCCAACAGCAATTTGCGAAGTTCCTAGAAAAGTGTAACTCGACGCCAGTATGCAAGGTGAATAAATAGAGTATAGAACGTTATAGACTGCTTAAGCATAATGAGAATAGGTGTGAAAGATTGAGTTAACTAAGCGCCCAATACATATACATACACGTAATTAAAGCGCACACTTAACCACCAACAACTGACAGCTAACTACCAAGAAATTTTTGATGCTGCAAAATAGACAAGCTTTCGCTACTCGTCTTCTTTACATACTCGCAGTAACCAGTTAAAATAGCACTGTAAGGAAAATCTCACGTTCTGAAATGGCACAAAAAACGCCGACGCCTGAACACGTTAACTTAATATTGGGTCGTAGATTATATATCTGTGTACCGTTTTTTTCAGATCAGGTCACTTTCTCAAGATATAAATTAAAAATCAGAAATAACTGTTATTTAAGGAGTATCTAATTAAATAAAAGTCAAAAAATAATTGTTGAAGAGCGATTTTTATAATAAAAGTTAAAACTGTTACGGTCTATGGTTTGAATCCATTATTAAGTCTATGTAACTAGTCGAAATAAAGAAGGCATGCATGCATAGACAAAAATTCTTCTAAGCTACAACATTCAGCCGCATCAAACTTCTACTAAGTACATATATTGTTTAGATTTAGTGGACAAAAAAGGCGAAGTCACTGGACAAATTCTGTTTAAAAATTTACTTTATGATGCCGTTAGCTATGTACTTTTTAATCCATTCCTTGCGACTAGCAAACAGTCTTAACTCTAAATGCTTAACTTAAAATGCTTGCTTTATTATCGATCACTTTTACCGAACTGACCGGCTTTTTACTGCAGGGTATTGCAAGCGCTAACAAATGCACATACACACAGACGTCCATTATGCCCAAGGCATAATTATTTCGCCGAAGTACACGTTTAAGCTTAGAATTTCGCATTGCATAATTTTAGGCATTCGAACCCTTTAACACAATTAATTATCTGTAGCTACTTACTTTGGCGCTTCCGGTTTCAAATCGAGTAGCGAAAATTCCACATGCTTTGGGTCATCACATCCACCACAGTGCGTAAACACTGAAGCCTTAGTGTCCGTGCGACGGCCGCCAACGATCAGTGTGACCATAGGGAGCGCCTAAGGGCAGGCAAGAAAAGAAAAAAATATCTGCGTAAGAGCAAGAAACTACGATATAATAATAAATGGCAAGCAATTCAAGAAGAAAGGCTAGCGAATCGTCAATTTAAGGCTTTAGCTACAAAAGAGCAAAAAAATATTTTGTATTTTTCTTCTTTTTCTCTACATTCAACGCTCAATTTTCTAATTAGTAGTTTTTCACCGCTACTGAATACCTTTTTCTCTCTTTTTTTGTTCGCCTTTGTCCGTTTGCTCTAAATTTTTTCATGTAGCTGGTTTAATTAGGATTTTTTGGTTTTTTCCTGTATTTTTTACTTACCATTGGCAGGACAAAACCGTCATTGTAGTCGATATGTTCACCAATCAAATTAACACGTCCTGGTGCACAGCAGGCCAGTTCTGGATCAGCGCCAAAAATTTCATGATATGTCGATTTGGCCAATGCCAAAATTTCTTCAAACGTGGCTAGTTTGGTGACGGCAGGCATTATTATTGTCTCAGTTTACTTGTTACTTGTAGAATGTGCAATGCTGGGGTTAATATTCACCAGCTAGTGATTGCTGATTGCTGCTAATTAGTGGCACGTAGAAACACGAGGAGATTGAGTAACTAGACTTGCTTGAAAATTTTCTAATAGACTAACTGTGTACCACTTTTTTGGATAATTACTGCAAAAAAAAATAATTACAGTAAAGAATTGTCTTATGCTTGTTTGAATATAAAATAGTCTGATATTTGCTTTGCATGTTTCTTCTTTGGTAAAAAGTATCATTTAGATAGGTTACGTTGCGCCTTAAAACACGCTAAAAAAGCAACGGTAGGTACAGATATAAGGGGAAAATTCCACATAGATGGGAACTGTCCCCAAGCATAATGTACTGACCTTACACAGCAGTTGTTAAGCCTATTCTGCTCTATAGGGTATTGGAATGGTGACCAGGTCTCAGCAAAACTACAACTGAAGCACTTCAAAAGGTGGAAATAACTGCGTTGCTCTGCATCTTCGGGGCTTTGCTCACAACTCCATTGGAGGTAATGTGCATCTTACCCAATATTTTGCCAATCAACATTGTTTTAAAACAGTTAACAGGCTGCAGAGACATTCAGGATGGCCACACCGCAATTTTAAAGAACATAGATATACCGGGCACAGATTACTGTGTACCAAGTCTTAACTTCATAAAGAGGTATGGGATCACTCCACTTCTACACCGATGGTTGTAAACTAGAGGGCAAGGTAGAATGAGGGACTATGCAGCGTATATTGCAGCGTCTTTCAAGCTGCATATGTAACAATATCTTCATCTACTCAGACAGTCAGGCGGTACTAGAAGCGCCTGACTCGGTCACATGCACCTCTGAACTAGAGGGCTGACCAGTATGCTCTCCACATGGTGTGGGTTCCGAGGCCGGTCAAGGCGGGCGAACTTGCAAGAAAGAGCATACCCCTCCTATTAAGCCCCACCGCCCCCCCTCCCCCCCGAAAGGGAATGGAAGCAAGGAACAGGTGGAATAGTCTCACAACTTGCAACGACATAAACTTATGTGGCCGAAATGGAACGAGAAGCGGCCGAAAGGTCTCCCCATGCTGAGCGGAGGGGGCTTAGCCGCAGCCATGGGCCTGCTAAGAGGCCATGTTGCCATTGGAAGGCACGCATAGAGGCTAGGGGTTGCACCCAACGACTTCTGCAGAAGCTGCAGAGATGAAAAAAGCAAGGAACTTTACGGAACCTGATATGTGAATGCCCGCGCTTGGAAAAAAAGACGAAAGTTCTTGGGCTCAGAATTCTTCGATGGTTGAACTGACATAGCCGAAGTATGAATACGGCAACATTTGAGTTTCGCAGACTTCATACGATGTGTCGCGACGGTTTAAGTAGGGCGGTTCTAACGTCCCGCGTGGTATCACAAAGGGGCCTAAAAATCTTAGGGCCCAGGTGTGCTACTGAGTAGCCTAGTGCTCTTCTTCTGAGTTGATCCTTTTAGCTAATTTAGCTGTACCTAATGGCCCGCCAACAGAGCTGTTCAAGTACGGCTTAAAGTTTTTGATAAGTTACATGCATCAACTGTTATGAAGAATATGGCTTGCGCTCTGCCCTATCAACAAAAAGGCGATCCTGCCAAATGCGCCAACTACCGTGAGTTTCGTCCTCGAATTGTGTGAAAGACTGAAGCCTACCATCACCTTATCAATGCGGCGGAGACCAGTTATTTATAATACGTCAAATATTGAAAAAGACATATGGAAATAGGATTGACACACAACGTCTATTTGGCGATTTCAAAGGCGCTTTCGACAGCAAGACAAGGAGTTGTATTTATGCCAAAAAGTCTGAGTTTGATATCCTTCGAAACTAACAACAATAATAAGTGTGTGGCCGAGCTTCTCCTCCAATTTTTGTTAGACGTTTTAATGTTGTTACACAAATGCCGAAAGGCAAAGGTATTTTATAAATGGAAATACGAACGAGATTTACTTCGGGTCCCACACTGACGGGATATGCAGGCTTTCGATGCTTCCTTCTCGTTAAAAAAAAGAACTCACATAACTTTTGGCCTTTATGATTTCGACTTCGTCTCTTTAGGAGCCAGTATTAACACCGGTGATTATGTCACCCATGAAATACGATGGAGAATCAATCTTGCCAACAAGTGCTTCTCTGGACTAAGTAGGCAACTGATAAGTAGAGCCCTCTCAATAATATATGTGTATCGGTCCGTTAAATGCCAGAATCGCTTAGTTAGGCGGCTACAGCACCAATCGAGAAGAAAAAGATTCAAACAAGAAAGTTCAAGTTCGTAGGATACGCCCCATTGTCACTTTAAATCTCATATAAAGAGTACTGTTAAAATTTTAGATTAAGATATTCTATGAGTCTAGGAAAAATTTTCTATAAAGGTTTTATATTTTACAACTAAGGATTAATTTCGTGGTTTACTTATTTCCGTTTTAGCGTCTTTGTACTGAAATCCGGATAAACAAAAAAGCGAGTTTATATGAGCGTGGTAATAAGACATCTCAATGAGCTTTTTCTTGAAGCAAGTATGCATAAGATTACAAAAATAAAAACTTTATCCTCCTCTTATAGCATTTTTTAATTTGTATCGTTTATTAAAAAAAAAAACAAATCAAGCAAAAAGTGCAAAAATTAAAGCACAAGTTTCCTGATTCACAAAAAAATTAGGCTGTTCATAAATTTGTTCGCTTAGGCTCTGTAGCTGCATTACACTATGTAACAAGGTTTTTGTCCCTGGGTTGTAATTGTTATTTCCTAGTCAGTTAGGTCCCAAAAGTACAGAAAACAGCTATTGTCGCAAGATAACTTTGCTTTTACATTTGGGGATTGATTAGAGAAAGTGACTCGCAGTTTAAACGCAAATGTCGAAAAACCACCCGCTTCTGATTTACTTTTATGTTTTTGGTTTTCTGAAGTTTTAATAAAATTTAGTTTTGATTTATATGTGCTGTTCTGTATGATTTTCTCTGTAGTGAAAGACTCAAACACGTTTTTCTCATAATTTTAGCATATTTTAATGAATCACATTGTCCTGGTCACAAAAGCAAAGTTTCCGAGGAATATTAGGTGGTTTCCATACTTTTAAGGCATAACAGACTAGGAAATAACAATTACATCCCAAGGACTGAGAAATTTTTTTTTTTTGTTACTTAGTGTTATTCACCGTACTTTCACCAACGCAACGCTTCGCTTTGTTTACACATGAGCAGAGATCAGCGAACGCTAACAAAGCGAACGACCACCCAACGCCAGAAACTTTTCAAATAAAAGTCTCAAAAGTGTTTTTAAAGGCATCATAAAAATAATAAAAATTAAAATAGAAGTAACTAAAAAGTAACTTTAATGCAAACGTGTCGACGCACATAAAACAATTTCGCAAAAAGGCAATAAAACCATGAAGATAAAATCGCGAAGGCAAAGTAATATGAATAATCACACACACATGAAGTCTTTTATGACTTTCCGGTTCATCCTGCACTTTAACGGACTCTTATAAGGGTAAATTGAAAGTTTTCTTCGTTTATTTAAAAGGCAAGGTTTAGTTTAGAAGATTGCAAGTCGTACATTTCAATATGGAATATGTATGTAGGTACATATGTTCACAGAAATATGAGTGATTTAGTTTTGTTTTCGTATAATAGTCTCACGAAATCAAGTCAATATGGGTATATACATATATCTGTTGTCATATGGAATAGTAGCTTAAGTCGGGAAACTGGCTTTAGTATAATGTAAATATTACAAGGGCCAGCAATACGCTACCTAAAGGCGAAAAGGTGACAAGTCGACTGTTTTTATACCCGAGCGCACTTGTGCACAAGCAAAAATCGGACAATAACCACGCCTACCTCCCATATAACGGTAATTTTCAGAAATACAAAAACTGCGATATTTTCGTAACTACTGAAGATAATTCACTCAAAATTGATATTTATAATAAATTTTAGACGAAAAATAAGAATATTAACATTTTTTTGAAAATGGGCGTAGCCACGCCCACTTATGGTTACATGTGTATATCTTGGTAACCGCTGCATCAATTTATTCCAAACTTGGCACAGTTGTTGGCCCTGGTACAGCATACCAATAACCACGCCCACATCCCATATAACGGTAATTTCGAGAAATACGAAATCCTCGATAAATCAGTAAATATTAAAGCTAATTTATTCAAAATCATGGTTGCAACAATTCTTTGCCAGGAAGTACGTTTATGATAAAATTTTGGAAAATGGGCGTGGCACCGCCCACTTATGATCACGTATATGTATCTCGCTAACCGTTCTAGCAATTTGTACCAAACTCGGTATGGTTATTGTCCTTGCCACATAAAAGTAAACCATTGTAACGGTAAATTTTAGAAATGCTTGAAATTTCAATATTTTGAAATTTAAGGACGCTAGTTTACTTAAAATTTATACACGCCGGCTTACCATGTAGCGGTAGCTTTCGGAAAGGTGGAAAACATATATTTAATACTTGCGCCGGGTATTTAATGCTCGGCTCCGCCCGAACTTAGACTTTCTTACTTGTTTTAATTTCGTTTTTGATGCAGAATGACAGATTATGCCAGACTACCTATTTAAAAAAAAATGTATCTACTTTGTCACCTTTTTACGTTTAGGTAATGAATACTAACTAATAGTTCTCTATCTACATATATCCTTTTTCTTTTTTAACAGTATCCTCATCCTCATCTTTTTCCTCATGTTTAACTTTATTTTTACCTTTTTTTCATTACTTGCTTCATCTACACTTGCCCCTTTACCTTTGTCGTAAAGAGTTTAAATTTACCTTGATCTTCATTTTCGCATTTAAGACCTGAGACATTCTGAACAACTGTGCAAAGAAATTTTGCCGAAAAAAAAAACAATCAGATAAAAGTTAGAAGCCATCAAAGAGGGCATACCTTGAAAATTCCCGTGGAGGCAAAATTTACAAAACAAAATGTTTATGAAGACATGCAGAAAACTTAAAAATCAATGTTGCAGTGCGATTCCTCATGCCCGAAATAGGGTAAAACCTTTCTCTCCGACAATGGGTACCTTTTGCGGCTGTGTATAACATTTGAAACGAGTAAATGTAAGAAGTTTTTGTTTTTAACCCGAATATTCTCCTCATGCATATGTACTAATAACATTTCTACCAGGTGGTTTGGTTTCCTTATCTTATGCGGTGTTAAGCAATCCCTAATTGAGTGAAAAACAAAATCTGCAAATAAGATATGTTATATGGAGATACGACACTATATTTACTGCATCGCAAATCCAAATAATAGCATCCGTTAATTGGGTAACGTAGTATAGTGATCTTGTTATTGTTGCAGCTTCTGTTTTCACCAAATAACTACCTCATGAAGCAACTACATTTGTATGTACATATGTATGTATATGCAGTACTCTGACAACGTAACATTGACAACGCACAAATACATATGTATTTCTCGGAATACATTTCTCATTTGTACAAAAATCTACTCGAGCTAATATAATGATTGGATAATTTTTAAGGCCGAACAGAGATAAATTACACTTTCGCATTTTTAATAGCACTTTTCTTTTTTTGTTCATAATCACATCAAAGGTGTTGCATTTACGCTACGTATCATTCAAATCAATTAAAACAAACACCCAAAAATACGCAAAGAAACCTGTTTCAAAGAATTCGTACCTCACTCTCGCAGCGGAGCGCGTCAACTGATTACAAAATCGCCGGCACTTGATTATTATTATTTATACAATATCACTTGCACATACAATTTAGCTTAACGTCAATTTTTTCCACAAGCGCATCTCCCACACTCTGCTGTTTGCACAGATATTATAGTACTTTAGTTAATAAATATGTAGAACACTTGTTATTATTTTTGTTAAAAAATTAAGTTTGATTTGGATTTTTTGCAGCAATTGTTTATCAGCTCTGGCGATAAGCAAACAAATAGGCGTGAATATTCATGCGAAAGTCAAAAACTGGTATACAAGCAAAGAGAAATGTCAATGGGGCAATAGTGTACATATATATGTAATACACTGCCGAACAGAAGTATTGGAGCAGTGAATATTTCACAAAATATGCAAAGTTTTTTATTCTAGTTTATTTTCGGTAATTTTTTATAAAAAAATTGTTCATTCTATACCAGAAAACATTGTGCAAAACTCAGGAAAATTCATTAAAATTACACACTAATTTGCAACTTTTTATTCAGATTTTTTAGAAAAATTCTAAGAATACAGTTTTATATCCAATTCAAATTTAGTATAACAAAGTGTGAGTTTGAAGTCGGTAGAAAATTGCGTTGATTTTTGATAATTTTTTTTCACGCAAGTTTTTCCATACAAAGTATATTCAATTACTTTTTGTATGAAGAAAATGAGCAAGCAACACCTTCCAATAAAAAAAAGTTTAGAGATTTTATTTTTATGTTTTTTGGTGTAAAATAAACTATGTATATTTTTATAAAATATTATCGAAGATAAATTAGAATACAAAACTTTGCATATATTGCGAAAAATTCACTGTGCCAATACTTTTGTTCGTCACTGTACATATATGCACTTATAAAAACATATGTTGTGCTGAGAAAGAACGCGGAAAATGGAATTGGTAAAGAGCGAAATACACCACACAAGCGGCTTGTCAAACATTCTTCAAACCTACTTTTCCCATTTCGCCATACACCATGCAAACATGACTCGTTCAAGCAAAGAATTTTAGTTTTCTTCCAGTTCGCAATGCTAAATATTGTGGTTTTCTTTCATTTTCCTCTCTTACGTCCTTACTCGGTGAAAATTTCGTTGCGAATGAGGCGATTTTGCTATACACAACGCAAGCGGTTTGATCAAACATCAACATGGCGGCCAGAAAATCAAAAAATTTTGATTTTTGCTCAAATTTCCCTCAAGCGGTTTGTCAAACCTTCAAACACCCCCATACACAGCACAAATGGCTTGAAGCAAAGGGAAATTTCGCTTGGTTTGTCAAACCGCTTGTGTGGTGTATTTCGCTCTTTACTTTATTGCCCGGCTGCAGCAGCAGGTAGTCGCGGCGGTAGTGCAATGAACTGGTTGCAAATGCAATTGCTCTTTCACAGCTCTTCACTTGTTCACTTGACGCTCAGCTGTCATTGCGCTTTTTGTTTTGGACTCTTCGCTCGAACGCTGCCCTTTTCGCTGCCTTCTTCTCAAATACAGCTACCGTCAGCAAGTACTTTATATATTTACTCGTACATACAAACATATGTTGATTCACGCAATGCACTCAATGGCTCACGCTCCCAACAGCGAGATGGCTGCTATTGCACTCTCGAATGACATGCGAATGTCATTTATTTTTATCAAAAATTACTGATAAGACTCTCAAGAGTATACATATACTCATGTAGAGATTATACTAAGTATTACAACCACTTGTACATAAGTATATATGGGCGATGCAGCTTCTGTTTACAATTGATAAAAATCTGTACATTAGACCGGCTCGGTGATGTTTGAGCACTTCACAAAAATTTTCGTGGTTACATTTCCTGAAAAACAACCTAATTTAAGTTTTCTTCTTAACATGTTTATTCATGATCAGAGTTGCCGCTTTGGTATTTTTTTTTTCTTTATTTATCAAATTTGGTAATTTGGTAACTTGTTTTACAATTTGGTTACTTTTTCGATTCGGTCCTACATACTTAAATCCTTTTTGGGTACTCGCATTGGTTTAAAGTTTGCCGTTTCTCAAGTCCGGCTTCTATATTTTTTACGCTGACTTTTGCTTTCACTGATTTGACTAATTGTGATAACAGTTGATTTGTTTATTTTAAACACGTCACAAATCACCTTACCTGAAACATCACTTTTTAATTTTTCCAGAATTGTGGAAAGTCAAAGAAAGGCAAAAAATTCAAAATTTGTGTGTGTGGCATGCATAAAAAAAGAATGTTGTAGGTATTGAGGTTAAATTGTTTTGAAATTGCACTTATAAAAGTTATAATGGTTTGCTTTAAAAACTTGCCTTAATCAAAGAATTGCACGTATGGAGGGTTGCGGTTACCGTGTATGCACTGTAAATATATTCAAAATTCTAAGCATGCATGTTTTTTGCGCTTCAATAGATCTGTAACTATAGCAGTCACAGTGTTATAATCCCGACGAAATCCTTGACGGTGATACCGGAGGGAAACGGTACACAAAGTTTAGTTTCGGTTAAAGTCTCACACTGACGAGGTTAGGCTTTCGATGATTCCTCCTAGTAAAAAACATGCGCAGTAAATGTTGACTATTTAAATCGACAAACAGTTTTATATCAACTTTTGTGAACTTCTGTTTTTGTACAACATAACTCTATTGGTGACAATAGCTTTAAGCTACAATAAAAAAATTTTTAGTAAGTATAGTTATTAGTTTGAAAAAAACAAAAAAATTTTTTGTAAATCTCTGAAGAACGTTCTCAATAAGAACAGATGAGAACGAAACTTTCGGTAACGTTTCCCTTGAGAACAAAATAAGAACTAAAGTATCGAGAACGTTGTCGAGAAAAATCAAATAAGAGCAAAAATCCGGAAAACTTTCTGCAAGAAAATGAAACGAGAACTAAGGAATAAGAGGGGCGTCTGCGAGTTGTGATGAAAAATCATTTCAGTGAGAACCATGATTATTAATTCTAAGTAAAGAAAAGCTGGCTCATTTCAAACTTTTAGATAGTTTATCATTAGAGTAAGCTGTCCATTTATGTACAATTTTTCATTTTATGTGCAAGAAAAGTTCTTGTTTAAAGTCTTTCGTTGACTTAATTTGTGAAGTTATTTTTCAGTTCTTTTTTTAATCATTTAATTATTCAATTATTTCAAGCTAATGCAGCGCTATGTGGACTTTTTTCCGCTTCCATTCTGCACGAAATGTTCAGCGAAGATTTTTTCCCTTTTCTTTCTCTGTCAGAACACTCATCCGAACTCTTTAGTTCCGAAATTGTTCTTCGAGGGAAAGTTCCCTGGACCCTTGTTCCCGTTTTGTTTTTTGTCAGAACGTTGTCGTTCTCTTAAAACTGTTCCTGCAAGTAACAGTAATTCCCGTTGGAAACGTTCTCTACAGTTTTGTTTCATTTTCGTTCTTGTGAAAACGCTTCCGAGGTTTTGTTTAGATTTTCAATCGTTCTAGCTAACGTAATTAAACTTAACAGTACATGGATTTGTCAAGCAAATGTCAAAATCCTAAAGGAAGAGTCTTAAAAGTTGCTAGTGTCATTGGCTTCTGATAAGTTGCGATATTATAAATCTTTTCTCTACAGACATTTTAAAATTTCTTAAAAGTGCTTTAGATTTCGTCATGGCTGAAAAGGGTTAGTAAGATGACCACGTCTAATCCAGTACTTACAAGCTCTCGTGCCTCAAACAAACAAATGACCTACCACCATAGGTAGTAGCCATGTCAACCCCAAATAATAAAAATACGATTAATCTTATCACCTCTGTACCTGTTTTTCTTTCTCAATAGTTTATCGAGAAAAAACTCTCTACGTCTTTAAAAAAAAGCCATATTTAAAACTTTTATAGCACATGATTCTTTTTTGTTAAGGAAAGTGTCTATTCTTTGATATCATACCAATTTTATTATGCAAATAAGTACGCGGTAATGTGAAAGCTTTTAGGAGTCGCCACGAATTGCGGCCAGGTCGTTGAATTTGAAAGCATTTTAAATGCCCCTTTTCTATCACTGGACAAAATTTCGTTGGTTGGGCCGGTAAATGGATCGCGTTGGAGGATTTTAGCCAGAGTATAAAATATCTAGAGGGACATTTATGCTGACGGGTGAAGGCTTCTTTAACAGAAGAGTATGTCTCTGTTCTATCCGAGCCACAGGAACTATTCCCTCCTGAATACGTTGATCATAAAACTTGGAGAATAACGAAGGCCTTTCTTTTATGACTACTTTAAGAGCGATGCTTGGTATTCCATCCGTTATCGGTGCCTTGTTCTTACCGGTTATGGCAAGCCTGCCTTTCACCTCCTTTGTGACCTAAGGAATCGTTGAACTATCGCATGCTTCCGTCTAAACCGTTGATCTGGAAAGAGATTGGTAGCTATGCTATTCAAAAACAAGCGGCATGCAGGTTGTGAAAACACTGCCCCTTTAACTTTAGCTATTATTGGATGGTTCTCGCTAAGAAATTGAAAGGCATGCGATTTCGAGGACATCTATCACAATAGCTTCTTGATCGCCATGTATTCATACTTATCCTGCCATGTAATTTTTGATTGATGCAAGCGCCAGATCAACATGTCTGATGTAAAAGTTGTAATATGACTTTATTTTGAGATACTCTAGCACAATGGGGGATCAAGCTTTAACGAGTACTGGCCAATACCGTTGACCAAGCGTTAAAATTTCTGGCAATTATAGCCGCTTCTCACACACTTCTCTCATGTCAATGGCCAAACTGGGAGTAACATAATGGCTGAAAAGATGCAGCGCATTTTATAGCGCTGAAATGCACTTTTTTGGGACCCAGTCTAGTGTATGCACATACCTATATGCATGTACATATGTTGTTTATTAATCGTATGTTTTTTTAATTAATTTTTTTCGCTTAAAAGCATTACATAATTGATAAGTACATGCATTCATATGTACATATTTTAGTTCCTCTCAGCCCTTTCCCAATAAAATACAACGTGGAGCAACCTTATATATTGCATGCCTCCTAGTACATATATGCTACACTTTTTCGTATGGTTTTTAAAAACAGTTTGTCAAATGGCAACTACTATAAACAAAATAAAACCTGATGGGATTGAAGTTTTTTGTTTATATTAAGTACAAATCAACTCTAAGGGCCATTTTCACCACATCTAGTTAACACTAACTGGAGGTACATCCTTCAGTTAAGCACTTCGACTGCTTTATCGATCACATGTTATTTGCTAGGTGTCGACAATATCGATAACGATGTTTAACTGTGAAGTTGGGATCAACCGGACCTTTTTTATGGGAAAAACAGCAAAGCTATGGGCATTTGTAAAAATTACTTTCAAAGAAAGAGTGACTATTTGAAAATATATTTTCTGATAAACCAATAAATTAGGTTCTAAAGAACAATCGAATTTTTCATATTTCCCCAGTGCTAAAAATTATAAAAAAAGGTTATTATTAATTCTTTAAATATTAACCTTTTTCACGTTTCTGACTGATATTGTCATTTTAAATAGAGGAGGGGATAACCCGGAGCTTTCAGTCGAAAGTAACGAAATCGATGTCCATGCTTCTATGCCATACACCAGCACTTTCATTATGAGTGACTTCTAAATACACTGTGGCTTTTATGCAAAAAACGAAGACTAAAAATATATATTGTTAACTATAAACGAAATTTATAAAAATTTACACACTTTGTTTATAGTTATATGGTACATATTTATAGGCACCGTTTGTTGTCCGCAGTGTACTTACAAAGTGTCATGTTTATATGACGAGAGAGGACTTTACTTCTCAACAACCTACTAAGTTCAAAGTAACAAATGCTAGCATTATTATTGGTGTTTATACTTGGGTGGTTCACAAGGTGTCGTACTTGTCGTGTTGTTGTATGTTGTAAAGTTTTTTACGGCTAAATAAATGTTTAGAGGACTTGAAATCACAACCAACTATTTTTTAATTGTGTGAAATTTCATAATAACTAACTTTTATGTTAGCTTGCGAATTCTTTAAATATAGTTTTAGCTGTTTAAAGTTTATGACATACAACAGTACGACAGTATACAACACCTTGTGAACTCCCTAACTGTTTCCTAAGTAAACGAGCTTCTACGTTCTCGAAATTATAACTATCAACAGAGACGTGGGTGCCAACGCGCGAATGCGCTGACTGTTCGTTTGATGGCAGCATATACTTTTCTCCTCGATCTTTTCTCGCGGTTCTTTTCCTAGATGTGGCGCATTGTGAATATGTGGCCCATGGTGCATTTTCCAGGCCTAAAGCACGCTGTGGTGTAGTGGTAAGCAGTGCGCGCTTTCATTCATCAACACCTGGGTTCAAGCCCTGGTCAAAGCAACATCGCAATAAAAATTTTAGTTTAAACAAGTAAGAAAGTCTAAGTTCGGGCGGAGCCGAACATTAAATACCCGGCGCAAGTATTAAATATATGTTTTTCACCTTTCCGAAAGCTACCGCTACATGGTAAGCCGGGGTGTATCAGTTGTGAGTACATTGGCGTC